TGATTAAAGTTGATTGTCTTCAGTATGAGGTGTACAGACTGAGAAGACAAGCATCTTTGGCTTCAATACTGGATTGTCAGAATATTTACTCTATTTCTTTCTTTGTTATAAATGTGGCGCTGTTTCAAGGATTAGAGGGAGCAAGAAGAAATTAGAATAATCCAATATGGGGATATTCTGTGCTGTAATAATTTCTGATGATTTCCTCTGGTAGATTTTGTAAGGTTGGCCCAATATTTTGACTTGCATAGAACTGCTTGGTTAATTTTTTGTGTGTTGAGCAAATTTTATTGCTATCCCTTTAAAAAAAACCTGAATCTGAAAATAAAGACTAGAACTTGTAATGGGAAAGTTACTGCGAAGGCGCATTCCTGTATCTGCAGGGAGTCTTGTGGCAGTCGGTTTTCCCTGCGTACAACTTGGAGGTCTAAGGCAACGCTGTGAAATTCTCATTTTTGCAAGCGTAACGGCCCTTTTCTGTATTGGTCAAAATTGTTAATTTCTTTTTCTTCCAAATAAGTAGCTGCTCAAGTTTCACAACATCAGCTCTGAAAAATTTCTGCCTCGTGATGCCTCATCAGCAGAATTTGACAGCAACAAATTGTTTGTAGCCATTCTTGTTCCATGTATAACGTGGGTCAGAATTGTACTTTATTGGTTGATGTTCATGATATTTTACATGGAAAGACTACCTCATCCTCCTCACGGAGACTGGTTTTGAAAGCTTCATTCTTCAGGAACTGAGTATTAAGCATAGTAAAATCCTCTTTTTTTATTTTCATTTATTTTTATTTTTTGAAAGGATCAAAATGGAATTGAATGAGTTTTACCAGAGTCTTTGTGTTAGTAAATACAGAACACAAATCTTTTATCTACCACTAATATTATTGACCACTAATATTTCCTGGTAATAGATGAGAAACTGCACACAGTTATTTTGAAACCAGATGTAGACTTCCTACTCAGATTAATCGCCGAGGGAGGTTAAACTGTGGTTGTAGATTTGTTGAGCTGTGTCGAACGTTTCCCAAAAGATCATTACTTTAGGAGTTGTCTACCAGTGTGCTTTCTGTGCGACTTGGTTTTCTCTCCAAATTGATTTATTGGCTCTCAGAATCCTTAGAACTTGATAACTGTTCGATTCCCAGCGTAAAACAACGGGTGGACAATTTGGCAGTTGCTGTGGCTTGTTACAAAGTTTTTCCTTGTGTATGTGGTGTCTGTTTTTTGCCTTTGTGCTGTATAGCCAGGAAAATAAGTGTTAGTAAAACGACATGTTTAGTGGCTCCTCCTCAAACAGTTGTGATGGTGGATTTTTCCTACCAATAACCCGTTCTACTGCTTGGGAAAAATTAATGCTCAGAGAGGGGGCCACTTCTTTTATAGGCTTTTACGTGGGGATAATTTGAAATACTGTAAATACATTGAAGTAAGCAAGTTTGAACATACATTGCCACATTGAAGAGGGGATAAATCTGTGCTGCTGGGTTGTATCAAAGTATTTCCTCATTCTAAATTAGCTTAGATGCCATCTATGCCATTGTTAAATGCCATCTATCTCGCTCTCCAAATTTCTTCCTTAAAATGAATGTACTTTTTCTTTAAAAAAAAAATAATCTTTTTTTATGTCAATTTTTACTGCTAAGGCTCTTTTTTCAAAGATAAACTTAATATGTGCAAAAGCCTAAGGACTCTCTAAATTGAGTATTATTGCGTTTATCTCCACAGCTGCAATTAATTATTCTGAGTATTCATTAAAAAATAAGCTTTGGTAAGTGACATTTTACACATGCATTCAAAAGTGATTGTAAGGAAGATGATGATGATAAAGAACAATGTCTAAAAGGAAGTGTAAAATTTTTCAACGTTTTAAATTGCCCTGTGAAAACTTCAAATGTAGCCATTTGGGCAGTTTGAGAAATAGAATGAGAACATATGTGGCTAGTAAGCGGGGGAATTTTCAGAACTGGTACTTCTCAGTATTTTATCAAGGATTTAATAAGATTTGATGTTTCTTGGAACTTTCAGTCCTGGCATTGAGAAAATAGATAGAAGTTCCCGTTTTTATTTTTTAAATAAGAAAACTTAGTCTCTACTAACTTGAATTTTTTTCCCTTAGTAGTGGGGAAGTTTTGAAAAGGTGACTATGAAAGCATCATAAACCCCTATAGCAACCAAAAAAAAGAAGTTTTTACTATTTAACAATTCATTGTTTTAGGTCAATCTTGTGATTTTTCTGAAGCTTAAAACAATCGTGTTAAGTTTGGGATTGTCATTTCTGAACTTCACATGCATAGGAAAAGCTATAGTACATTCTGTACTTGTCCCTGATTAGACAAACATCTTCCAGAAGCTTTATTGGGTTTGCAGTCCAGCAGATCATTGGCAGGTCCATAAGGAATCCCATTTGTTGCTAGCAACAGATGCAATTACTGTAGAAGGGGTGGGGGGCAAGGGACTAGGCCCTGGGGTTTTTAATGTCCAAAATAACGTCAGCCATTTTAGCTGAGCCAAGGTTAAGATTCCTTTTATTGTTTGTTCTTAGGATGATTTCTTATATCTTCTTTAAGTCTTAATGATTGGTATTGTAGCCCTTTGTATCTTATGTAGATACATGAATATTTTTGCAAGCAGCCGCTGTGTTGCAGCTGAAATAAACAGAGTCGCTGTCATCAGATTTGTTTGTCTTTTGTATTTGTGTTTCAACAATTAGCCAAAGAATACAGTCAAGAAAAATAAATGACCATTAGTGATGTCGGAGATGTTGAACTAGTGAAAACAGTACAAAGTGGGCTATTTACTGAGTGAGGCAAAGAAAAAGAAGAAAGCCGTCTCTGTTACCAAAGCACAAATTTTCTTCTGAGTTGTCTCCTTAAGCTTACCATGAGCACAGTGAAAACAGTCTTAAATATCAAAGCCATGCCATATTTAGATTGCTTAATGGTGTGGGAAAAATGGTGATAATCTCTGAGATCAAATTAAATGATAAACTGCATGCCAAAGACAATTATTTACTTTATTCTGTATTAAATTGTAGACCTGCTGCTTTTTTCAGTGCAGCACTCCAGTTATTTGCTTATGCACGTTTTATTCTGCATTGTCATCTTAAGTGACAGAGAAGGCATTCTAATGATTTCTTATTGCTTCACACAATAAATGCTTTTCTGTTCTTTGTTTTTGATTTTTTTGTATGTTAAACGAACACAAGAAATGCTTTAGTCTCGTTGTTGTTTAAAGTTACTGTCTATCTCTCTTCTGCCCTCATGCTCCCAATCTCCCCCTTATCCCCTCCCCACAAAAAACTCCCAAGCCAGGAAGACAGTACATACTTTTGAACTGAGCTCATCATCCTGTTTTGCAATAAATACCTTTAAACTCTCTTCAAGGAAATCCTATTAAAAATGTTACTTTTCCATGTAAATTGGCCGCAGTAGCTATGAAAATGTGCGCTCTCAAACTTTGCAGAACAAGTATTTGATGCCTCTTTGGAGCTGTGGTTTACAGACTTCCTTCTCTGTATCTTAGTTGATGAATTCTTTATCGTTTTGCCAGGGGTCATGGACTGTTATATAATTCCAATGAAACCATCAGTCCTCCGAAAGAATTATGAGTACTTGGAATGGTACAGATGTCAAATGCGATGGATTACCAGCTTTAGCATTTGATATATAACTGCGATGCTGGGAGAAAAAAATCTCTCTTAGCAGTCTCAGTTTTAAAGCAGACTATTTGAATTAAAAGACTAGGTTAATGTATTATTTAAAAAGTTTACTCCTTTACGTTCCATTTTCCTGTCTAATTTTGTCTTGTAGTGTTGTCCCCCAGACCACAGTAATACTGAACAACGATCGACAGAATTCAATCGTAGCCAAGATGGTCGGGCAGGAAGAGCCGTTGAGCAGAGCTGCAGATTCTCTGGAAAATATCCTTAGCAAGTTAGTAGCAGTTACTGCAGTCTTCTCCCTTCCCTCCCCCTTTCCGACAGACAGATCAGTAGCAGTCTCTGCGGTAATTCCAAGTGCAAGATGGGGAATGTTCTAGGTAGTGGTGGGGGGGAAGTATTCACGTGCTGATTCAGTGCATCAGGCTGGCAGTCCTGCCTAGCAAAACCCCATATCAGTGGAAAAGGTACGGAGCTGCGCTCCATCCTTGCTGTAGAGAGTGTGTCTCAGAAGATCTGGGATTAGGTCAGTGTGAGTTGCCAGCTACCAAGAGAAAGAAAACATGCCCATGACTACGTATTTTTACATGGGTACTTGATCACTTGGGAGCATGCCAAGATCCTGTGATTAACTACCTGAATAAAGAATGCACAGCAGCCCAGTGATGTTTGTTAATTTTTGTCCTATCTAAGGTAAACTTTAAGTGGAAGGGGAGATTCTGGGTAGAAAATGTTTTTAAATTATAAGATATTTGAATAAGTTATTTAAAGAATTTTGTTTGTTTTGCACACTGGCCTGGACTTTCCATTGAGGCTAATTTAGAAAGCGTGCATTAAAAAATTTTAATTTATTCTGCTGTTTTCATTCTGTTATTTTGCTGGATAGCTCTTAGTTATGAACAAGAGTAGGTTTGTTAATTTTCTCAATTAGTTTGTTAAATTCCTTTGTAATAATGTTATTGCTGATCAAGGATTGTGTTTTCCCAGACTAAGTGCTTTTCTCTTCCGTAGTGCTGTTCCCGGCCGTAGACAGAACACCATCGTGGTGAAAGTTCCAGGGCACGATGACAGTCACAACGAGGATGGTGAGAGCGGCTCTGAGGCCAGTGACTCAGTCTCCAACAGTGGACAGTTAGGAGGCCAAAGTATTGGAAACAATGTCACCCTTATTACACTGAACTCTGAAGGTATGCTGGTCAAACTGGGAGGCCGCTTGAGCAAAGTAAGTGGGTGGAGGAATGAACTAAGATTCAGCCGGACGTTTCGGAGGTTGCATCATTGGTCCAGTCTTGAATCGGTAGGCAGTACAGCAAGCATCAGAGAGAGTAAATGATGAACTGAATGAATCAATTTTCTTAATTTCCACTAGTTTTGCAGGCAGAAGAGCTAATTAAAGTAACTCATATAAAATTTTATAAGTTTGCCCCACTGTAGCAGTGCTGCTTTATATTTTAAACCTTTTTAATTAAGACATGCAACCTACAGGATTTGCAAACCGCCAAGCTGAAATACTGTTCCAGGAAAGTAACTGCCTTCTCTGGGAAATAAAATCTGCTAGTTGATCTCCTCCTCTAACTTATTGTGCCAGTCCACATGTGTAGTTCTTACGAAAGTAAAATATCCTTTTTGGCAAGTGTAAACAGTTTTTAGCAGGAAATTCTTATTAAAAATGGACTGGTTGTAGGATAGTGTGTAGTGTCAGAGTTTTTTTGAGACTTTAGGATTTGGAGAATGAGAAATCAAATTCAGTGGAATCTAAGAATGTTATAGCCTTATAAAGATATTCTATTGTATATGGTTGGAAATACTGAAATGAATGTTAGTTGCTGTATTTTAATCACAAACTTGATGGGATATAGGGGACAGTTGAGTTTTTAGGTGAAGAGTAACATAATTTATAGCCATACCTTGTTAATTTTATTTTTATGAGTTTTCAGAACTGACTAATAATTCTGGATGCTAGGTTTCATGCATAACTCGTTTGACACTTTGTTAACCGTGATACTTGGAAAACCTCAGAACTCTGCTTACTCAAAGTCTCATATGCCAACGATCGTTGCTGAAAATGTTGCTCTAAGGCATTTGAACCTAGCATTCTGTCACTTTTATGTATGCTCATACAGTATACATGTTTCATAAAGAGCTTTTCAAATCTTCTGTCCTGCATGTGTGTTGTGACAAAGAGTTGCTTCCGAAGGGTATTTGATTTTTGGGTCAATGGAGGATTAAAGGAGACTGAGACTTATCTGAAGAGTCCCTCTCACAGAATCATCAGATTGCAGATAGTGCCGATACTTCCATGTGAATAATCCAAGTTCTGTAGCAGTAGACTAGAAATATTTTACTTTTATGTTTGCTGCTATTTATAGCAAAATTTTTTTTAATTGGCATACAGTAATTATACTGTTTCTTATATCCTCCTTATGAATTCTTCCCTGATGTACTTAATCTGCATTCATTTTTGGCTTCCATTGTGAGGAGAAGTTCTTTTGTGCTTTCTGAATAGAATCAGATAGATTTAGTCTAAGTTATCTGCTTCCTATGGTAAAGAAATATCTGGAAGGACAAGTGCCAAGTCTTCTGTTCTCAAGTCTTGATCAATGTCAGTCTGATGGCTAGAGTTGTTAGGATTTCCTAGTTTTACAAGCTATGCTCTAGTTACCTATCTTCCCCCAGGCTCGTAAAAAACGTCCAGTGGGAGGAAAGTCTAAGTTACGCTGGTTAGATGGAAGGAGCAATCAGCAGGCATTACTGGTAATATTTTTGGCTCTTTGACTCTGTTTTGTTCCAGTTATCTAACCCTACCCCTTGCACTGTTAATTAGCTATTGGTAGACCATCTGATAAACGCTATGTTCAGGACTGTTTTTCCCTTGTAATAAGGGTGTTGTGGACTGTATGACTAGCATGTGCCTTTGTCTCAGTGAGATTGGATTTGTACAATGTTATATGTGGAACTACCTCATAAATATGTTAGAAGCAGAACTAGGTGCAAAATTAAACATATTTTGTGTACTAGGCAACATATTTTTGAGAGCACTTACTGGTGCTTCATCATTTGCACTAGCTAACATGTATTTTTAGATGAAAGTCAGTGTACTAGCTTTGATGTGTTAAGCCCTGAATAGCCTAGGAGGAGACTAAAACTCTCCCTTGTGTTTGTGGGATGTAAAGCCAGAACTCCCCTGTTATAGGAAGGGGCTGTAAGCAAGACGTTCTCCCTGAGGTCTTTGGAAATAGCTTTTAGTTGTTTTCCCCAATTGCGTGCCAATCAGCTGACCAGTAAAACACACTACAAATAATATATTCCTTTAGAGAAGAGCGGGGTGGGGAGAATGAACAGGGAGATTTTTAGATTTGGTTTTTACTGTTTTATTTTGACTGACAGGGAGGAAGGGTGGCACAAATATAAGTGATGACATTAATATAATACAGGTATGGTTCAGGGTAACGCAAAGCTGTACTATTCTATGTTATTTTAAATGGTAATAAAAACAAGTATTGATAAAAATTGTCTTTTTCCTAAAAATATCTTTTGCAAAATCTTAATGAATTCTGCCTAATTTGAGATGAGTTGTCAGAAAAGACCGTATTTGTAGTGCTATAGATATGTACAGCTATGTACAGCTGTACAGCTCAGTATTTATAGCAGAAACTATTATCTAACTTTTCTTCATACAGCTTTAAAGCTATGTGAGGCGGAAGATCTTAAACTTCCAGAGAAGAAAAATACTTGTAACTTCAGTTTGAATAATCATATTTTACAGAATATGTGTTGACTTTGACAAACGCCTAGACTTGAAATCAGAAAAAATTAAAAAATCTTTGCGTCTTATTCAGCAAACAAGTATCACTATGAGTGGAAGGTGTAGGTTCTGGAGGTCTTCATGTCTGACATGGTAGGACTTGCATATAAAACATGCTCTTTGGGGAATTTGGTAATATTTCATAGAGCTTTGCATCAGCTATGCTGGGAGCGAAGTTCCTAAAATTAGGAGGCTGGTTGTTGTAGAATGCTCTTTTTGACTTGGTTGTTTGACACAGATGTGCACAGACAGGTGTTGGCCTTCTATGCAGTTGTTGTATATGTAAATTTTGGAGAAACAGCTCATCCATTAATGTCTTCAGATCTGATTTTCTTCAGACCTTTAGAACACTCATCCATTAAAAATCTTGTTGAGATTTATGAACGCTTTGAGAATCAGATTAGCAGTCCCCCAGACCTACCTCCTCTTGCCCTCGTGAAGATTAGAGAAGACTGCTTGCTTAGAAGGAATGTTAAACTAGCATGTCACAGAAATTAAATTATTAATAAAGGAAGTGATGAAGAATAATAATAGGTCTGTTGTGCACATTCATTTTCTTCAGCAGTAAAAGACAAAAGTTAGAGCACTCTTCAGCTTGCTTTTACATTCTGTGAAAGAATTCTGAATGACTTTGTGTTGCCCAAAGGAATCTCGAATGGTCGCAAGAGGGGACAAAATGGCACACTTCAGCCTTGCACGCTGAGACTAAACAGCAGTTTTTCAACATGACTCTGGTTTGTTGTCTTGTATCCAGAAGGCAAAATTGAACCATGTTTATAGTTTGGCTTTAGATGACTTTGAATGTGGCGTTGACCTGTGGATACTCTCAGAATTCAGTTAACAGTTTTATACAAATGCGTAGTTTGCTCTCTGTTAGCTCTTTTCAGAGAACATTTAGTCCCGTGTCATAGTTTAAAAAAATCTTAATTACCTTTCTATTCTTGAAAACCAATTATTAGAAAAGGATGCAAGCCAATTCCCGGTTCCAAAAAAACCTCTAGAATAAGGGGTACGTTTGTGCTTGCTGAACGTTGTGACTTCATTCCATCCCCAGCTGTATATTATTTTGGCATGTGCAGTAAGTCACGTTCTGTATTTTCTCTGAAGAACAGTGACTTGATTCTTCCTTTTACCTTTCAGAAAATCCAAAATATTCATCTGTTTCAGAGATGCAGTTAGTGGCCTGAAGAGTTTTGATTGTAAAGATGTAGTATTTATGAACACAAGGCATCAAAAGCTATTGAACCTCTAATTTTTGTGTCAAATTCTACTTCAGAATTTGACATTCTGTTTTTATATGGGGGTGACAGTGGAAATATTGACACCTTATGTGTTAGTGGAACCGCAGTTACAAAACTGAGGTTCATGAAACAGTCTTGCACAATCGGAGATAAAGCGCAATAGGAATAGGATTGGCCAGGACTGAAATCCCAGTATAAATTCAAATTGAAATTGGCTAAAGGGCTGACTTACAGGAACATGATAGCGACTTACTGGTTTTATTAATGTCATATTTTTGGCATAGCAAATATCAAGGGCGTTCTTATTCAGCCAACTAAGAAATCATTTTTCCTTTAACTTGTAATCTTATTGCATAGATATTAATAACTGTCAATGATTAGTCTGTTGTTTTGAGTGCATATGCCAGAAA